GTGCTGAGTTTGACTCAGGTTGCCCGGGAAGCCAAGGCTGCACGTGCGAAGGCTGGCGGGAGAGAAGATGAGAGAAGTCTCTTGCAAAGACAATATACCGCAGGCTACACTCGCTCTCTGGACACTTAATTGCAGGCTGCGGACATTGCTGATGCCACTCAGCACCTAAAGCGGGAGGTTCAGGAGAACCTGTACGTTTTCTGTGTTTCGCTACGTTGTAGATTTCTTGACAACACACTGGATCCTCGTTCACTTGCGTCGATGAGGATGGCGAGTGGCGCTTCGTGTTCTTGTTACCCGAGATTTTGTCCTTGCCTATTTGTCGAAAGAATCGAGAAGTCCTCTCCCACTTAATCCTGGATGTTCATTGACCATGTGACGCGCATGTCGTATCTTAGTCGCAGACGTTGACACCGTCGACGACGTCGGTCGCATTGTGAGGAGCTGCGGCAGCAGCTGATCTCAGAGCAGACCGCCAAGGTGGTGTCGAACCTTCCCCCCCTGCCTACACAACCGTGAAGCTTCTTGCGATTCGGAGAATGCACTAAGCAGTGTACAGACTTATTTGTATGTTGACATATTTGGAAATATGTACATAGAGAATATATATGACCTCGGGTCTGACACCTCGCCCTGCTCCAAACCCGACCGTAAACGAAATCCCTGATAAACAGCAACGCCACCTCAACCGTTTCCATCCGAAACCTGAAATCCATGTCGCTATGTCGGCTACCTGCCAGTGTGTGCGTGTGTGTTGCAGGTGGAGGCAGAAAAGAGATTTGGGCTTGTGGAGGCCGAGAATTCGCACATTCGTGTGCTTGGGGTTCATTCTTTGTTGGCAGCGCATGGAAGCGAGTGGGTGAGAATTGCTTGGCAAGCAGTTTAGACGCAGGTGCAGCTCAGCAAGATGTCTCGCAAGCTTCAGCTGGCAGAGAGCTGTATGCTCAGAGAGAAGTCAGTGGGGTTTCTTCAAAGACACCACTCAAACACACACAAAAGCCGCTTGCAGACGGCTTACCTCAAGGTGACCTTGCTGATGCCCAGGGCCGGGAGGACCGGGCCCAGAGCGCGGAAGCCGAGGCGAGGAGCGCAGGTCTTTTTGCCAGGGGCTTTGTGCCGAGGGTTTAGGCAGGGGGATAGTCTCAGTACTGTCTCAGTCTCAGTAGAGTTGTCTCGGCTGGCACAGCATCCAAGATTGCATTCGTTTTTGCTCTAAGTTGGATTGATTGGTCCAAGCAGAATGAGATTCGCAGCCCTAGTCTCGACTGCAACCCCACACTACAACAAGAGACGGTCATGCAGCTTTCAATAAAACTTCCCACCGTTTGAAGAGCTTCGTGACTTAGTGCATGCAAGCCTGCGTCAGTGCTGTGCAAGGGTCCCCGGCTGGACACGTCGCCAAAGAAGCCGTAATTGTTGCACATGGCCATGTTCACATGGCCATGCCCGGAGCTACAATGCAGCCATGCTTGGAAGCTCAGCGGCGGGCCTCACCATGGGCTTGGGAGCTCAGCATTCTTTTGCGAATAGCGGTGAAGATGAGACACAAAATTCATGGATGATTGTGGGGAGTGATACCAGATGAGGCTCTTTTGTCGCTGTCCCACCAGCGCTTTTGGAATGCTTGTGGTCAGCAGGTGATGCCTCTGGGAGCGATGCCCTCACGAGCTTGGTTGGCGCCTTGACTGTAAGCCTCCCTCATATGTCGAGATCGTGCCGTGCACATCTAAGCAGGACAAAGACGGGCAGCGGGCTCCAGAAGCGGCATCTCATGTCCTTGCTTCTTTTGGGATGTAGCCAACCGGTGTAGGAGTTGAAGCTGAGACTTTCACGAACTTCCCCCCCTATTGCCACACAGTCACCTAAACCAACAGCTCCGCCAGCAAAGTTCTCAGAAGGTGTGTGGAGGGACGAGCAGGGCTCGCGCTACGAGCTTGAGGTTCAAACCCCCGGCTGCGGGACTCAGAGTGTGGAGTCTCTGGGGTTCAACGGTCGGGGGAGTTGTGCTTCTATAAGTCTAAGAACTAAGACCCATGCCTTTTCAACAGCACCTGCTACTTGTAGACACATTTTGTAGCTGATGGCTCTCGAGGCTTGAGTCCACCAAGCGACTCCTCGGTTCTTTTGACCAAAAGGGCTTAAGTAAGATATGCTGCTGAGCCGGTGTTTAAGCACAGTAGCCCGGCATGGCATGTGCGTGCAACCTCAACAGTTAATTGTCGACTCGATGAAATTTGGGTTGCCCAGGCAAGAGTCTAAACGTCACTACGTACAGGCGCGCTGGGGGCTTGCTCACGATCGATTCAGTGAATTGTTCCCAGCCATGTGCTCTAGTACTTTGCAAGTTTGAAAGTTAGATCTGGTCGGATCCATTTGTCCCTTTCTCGCCGATGGGCCGACTTTAGATCGTTTTGCATCCCTGGAATGCGGTGCGAGGCTGGTAGGCAGGCGGCAACATACTCGGATCCGGAATCCGGACTGGCAATCCTGAACTGAAAGTTGTCAGGGCGATGCTGCTTGTGCTTCGGGCGCTTTGCTAGCCTTGCTTAGAGGCCTGATGGTGTGGTCAGAAGTACGCCGGGACTTATACGCGCCTTGGATGAAGCTGCATGCTCCTTGGAATCTATCGAAAAGGGGGTCCTGGTCAGTTTAGCCTCCATGGATCAAAGCAGGCCATGTTGCGTGTTGCACAAAGTCGCCACTGAGAGGCTTGAGAGCAGAAGTGAGCTGTGTATGTGTGTGTGTGTGTGTGTGTGTGTGTGTGTGTGTGTGTGTGTGTGTGGGTGGGCCTGTGGGGCCGGGCCAGTAAGAAGGCGGGCTGGGGGGGAATATTTCCAGGCGTTGAAATCGCACGTGACAACTCCGAGAACGTGGTCTGGGGCAAGGGCAGCTTGGCCGAGTGTAAGCTTCTGCTTCCTGGAGCGACAAAAACGCGCAGTTGGGAGCCAGCCTTGCACTTCAGAAGCCGGGCTGCACTCCGGAAAGTCAGGTTTCAAGCTCCAGCTGGGATCCGGAGCTGCCAATTCGGTGCCAGATTCTGTTCTTTGGGTCGCGAAGGAGATGGCCTGCAGTTGCTCAAGGTGTCCCGTTCTGTAGGACGAGTGGAGGGCACCAATGCCAGAACGCTGCAAGATTTGTCTCATGTGTGCTGCAGGATGGAAGGAGGCGGCCTTTTTCCTGGGCCAGGATTGCACCATATCGGGCACCAGTGAAATTGACGCCCAAGGCCGGATGGTAAGTTGAGGCGCAGCATGCCGCTCAAGCACAAAAAGAGATGACAATGAGACGTCGGTGCCCATTCTAGAGCAGCTTCAGGCATTATCTTGGAGAGGCAGTGCGAGTCTTGCTACCTGTACGACATTTGTCTTGAACAGTGCTGCACTGCTGCACAAGATTTTACATTTTACATTTCACATTTCGCAAACACAGATCGCCAATGCATCTCAAGGCGAAATCCATGAATGTAGATGCTGCTTTCCTCATGCAGGCTCCGCCTGGAGAGCTTGGGCCTTCCGCATCTGATACGAGGCCCGTTGGGCACATGGTGGATCATGTGTGAATATGTGAGGTTCTAGGCACATGCAGTGGTTGCGGCAATAGAGAAGCTTTCATGACCCCAGTCCCCCATCACGAGCTTGTACTACGTAGGGCAGCAAAGCCTCTTGTGCAGGACCGTGCTGAAGTCGAAAGCCAAGGACGCATGAGCTGCATTCAAAAGTTTTCAAAAGGGTCGCCGAAGGGTCTCCGATTTCCAGGCTCAGCCGAAAGCGAGTGAGGAGTCCACGCAGGAGGCTGTGGATGTCTGAGACTGCTTAATCAAGCACTACTACGAGTATCGTCGAGCTTTTCGGATAAGGTTCAGTTGGGCGGTTAAACCAACCTTTCCCAAGAAGGCAGTGTTGACCAGACATGCCTGCAATCTCGATGTCCATCGACTCCTGTCCTTAAAGTTTCTAGCCAGGCCAAGTCATCACAAGACGTGCCGGCAGCCGAGCAGGTGGGAAGTCACGCGGTGGGAGCGCATGTAACGGGATGGGCGAGGGTCCACTGAGCCGAAAAGCAGAAGCAATGAAAACCTGCTGAGCACAGCAGGATGATAGTGCCGACGGCGAGGTCAAAGGTTCTAGACAGGCAGTGCCGCAGATGCTCTCGAGAATATCGTTCCTAACTGCGGCATGTTTGCATGCACTCGGTTCTGCCAGGGTTGAGCCATGCTTTGAGCCAACCGGCCAACACCCATGCGGAAGGGTTTCAAGTCATTTTGCGGGCACGGCGAGCCCCTGAAAGTTGCGTATAGGGCCGCACCGGTCAAGGTACGGAACCTGGAAATCATGGCTTCCAGTTTGCAATATGACGTGGCAACAGTACACGAGACACATAGACAACATTGAACAACAGAATGCAGTAGGAAGAGGACGGTGCCACCCTCATACGCAGTGGTAGGCTTATTCCGCGCTGTTGTCCCCGCTATCCTTCGCGCGACAGGTGAAATCAGAGCCCTCGGCTCCTTCAAACGAGCCACCTTTGAAGAAGGTGGCTCGGCTCATGCTGTGGGCCATGGCATGCCTCTTGCGTGCCCTTGGCTTAGGCAAAGGCTGCTCAACCGGCCGCGTCGGCGTCTGCGCTTATTGCGTGCAAGACGGAGGCCATCTTGTGTTCAGTTGTGCAGCAACGGCTGACCACAGTCTTCTTCGAAGATGTGCCCTAATCCTTCCGTCGGAGTAGCTCTGCCTAGACATGCAGGATGCCTCTGAAGCCGGCACGTCGCAAAATGCCGAGGTTCGGGCAGCAATCTTGATTAAGTTTTGATCATATTCACGAGTACGACTTTCTCACCTTGCCAGAAACTGTATCAAGTCAAGTCCTTGTTTCGCCCGCTGCTGCTTTCGGCTTTGCTGGTACACCACACTTGCAGTGCCATGTGCAGCCGAAGGCTCGCTGGCAAGTTCCGACTCTTAGTCTTGGTTTTGAATAGCTTCTTTCAGTTTTGAGCGCTTTCCATGGAGCAATGGCGAAATCTCTTACAAGAGTTACACCATCTGCTCGAGGGTGAGCTCGTGAAAATGCGCAAGCTGGAGGCAGAACGCGGAGCAGAGAATCTCACAGTCAAGCAAGCCCCGCCCGAGCCATTGCTGTCTTCATTTCCATGGTCTCTGAGTTCGGAGACCGCTACTAAGGCTGCGATGCCGGTTTCAACAGGTGATGTTGAGAGCTCATGGATTCTTGAAAAAGCTGCTCTCTCCCTGCCGCATGTGGCAGCGGATGAGGACGACCTGGACCACAACACAATCGAGGAGGTAACCCGCTCGATCCGAAGTGTAGCTTCGCAGAAGGCACAGGGATCGGTTTCTGATTCTGTGGCTCCATTTCACCAATCAGTAGGGCTCAGTGACACTCGAACCCACTTCCGGGTTGTGCGAGCCGCGAAGACAGCTTATCTTCAACAGCGGCCGTGGTATGTCATAAATCCCGATCAGAGCAGGTGGGCAAGCAGATGGCAGGCTCTCGTAGCCTGTTGTTTGCTTTGGGTCGCCTTGGTCACCCCAGTGCAGGTGGCGCTTCTGGAGCCCGAGATGGATTGGCTGTTCATCGCGGGCATGCTTGTGGATGTAGTCTTTGCCATCGACCTTCTGTTGCAGTTCATCACAGCTTACCCAGAAACGACACCGCAGGGAGTCACATGGGTGGTGCAGGCTGAGAAGATCCGGGAGCACTACGTGAAGTCCTGGTTCAGCCTTGACGCAATCAGCATCCTCCCTTTCGATATCTTGGCACTGACCTTTGAGGCCAGCGAGCTTCGGGAGCTCGCCGTTTTGAAGGTAATCCGGGCCTTGCGCCTGGTCAAGCCACTTGCTTTAACTTGCCTCCATTTGGCAGACTCCCCACGTACTGTGTTTTTTGTTTTATCCATCTTCGCCGTTTCTGGAGACTGTCAGACTAGCGGGACTAGCGAAGACTCCGCGCCAGTAGATTCGCGCCCAGGCTGCTGCGGCTGATGAAGACATCTCGAGCCCTGCAGTCAATGGAGGTGCCCCTGTCCATTCCTTACCAACAATTTGCGTTGATTCGCTTTGTCTTGGTTCTCGGCTTCATCTGTCATGGGCTAGCATGTCGCTCATCTGCATTTGGTCCATGTGGTGTGTTTGCCTGTTCCGCCTGCTCCAAAATGGCCTAGCATGTCAGACAGTTCTGGAGCTCGTTTGAAGCCCTTTTGCTGATGAGGCTTTTGGGCCATGGCCTTGACCTTGGTGAGCCCAAGTTCACCTCGCTGGATTGACTTGGTCTCGCATGCCCCAGGAATAGTCAAGCCGTCACCCTTCAGAACATATGTGGCGGCATTCTACTTTTGCACCTCGGCTAATTCAATGAGATCGTTCATGTAGCAGTGTAGTGACAATTGAAAGGGCTTGAGTCGGATGCTTTGAGTCGGATGACCGGATGAGGTAGCTACACCATCACTTCTGTCGGCTATGGGGACATCAGTCCTCAGAATGACCAGGAACGGGCTTTTGCCATTGGTATTTTGCTATTTTCGGGCATTGCTTGGGCATACATCATCGGAGAGGTGGGTGCCATCGTGACTGACATGACCTCAGAAGGGCAAGACTTCAGGAGAAGTATGCACCACTTAAACCAGATGATGAAAAGACAAGGACTCGGGTTTGAGCTTCAGTGCCGTCTTCGCAGGTATTTCCTGCAAAATCGGCATCAGTCCATGATGCTCGAACGGCAGGCCCTTATGTCGAAGATGAGTCCACAGCTCCAGGCAGCATTCTGTATAGCTGTGAACCGCCGGTGGCTGCAGAAGGTTACGTTTCTGAGGAAGTTTATGTTCTATATCCGGGAGCAGGTGATGGTCGGGTCCTATGTGGCCCCTTATGAGGCATGCATGGCAGAGATTGCGAAGTGCTTGAAGCCGGGGGCATTTGCACAGCAAGAGATATTCGACAACGTCCAGGTTCTTTACATCCTTTCCAAGGGCTTGGTGGTCCTGAACAGCAAGCTCCGATCTGAAGGGGAGGTTTGGGGCGAGGACTTCGTACTTGAGGATACGACCTTGATTCGACCGGTTGCAGGGTATGCAATGACTTACATTGAGACCTTGTCTTTGACCAGGGCGGATTTCATGGGTGTCATCGAAAGAAGAAGGTTCTCTTGTCCGCAGCTTGGGCGAATGGTTCGCCGATACTGCGTGCGCATTGCCGTGTATCGCGGCATCCTCGCAGAGGCTGAGAAGCGACGTGAGCAGAACGAGGCGAGGAATCAGTGCAGCGAAAGCCAGGCAGATGCCACATACTCGCCAACTTTGCTTCCTGGTCCTAGGGCCGCCGCTCGAGCAGCACCGATTTCCGAGACGCCTCCAGACATGCCCGAAGAGAGTCTCGACGGACCCCTGCAAGCCTCGACAGCACTTCCTGGCGAGATCGAGGAGCTCCAGTGAGACTTCTGTTTCCGCACGCAACCAAATTTTGTACAATTCGGATCGTGCCTTTTCGCGAGCTGGGCCTTGTGGTCGTGGAGATGTGCCAGAAGCAACCTCGGCAGCGCGTTTCGGCGATCCTTGAGACTCCCGCTTGTGCTAATTAGCAATTCATGCACGGCGTAGAAGCAACGCCACATCTCCCCAGAAGATGTGGCGCATCGACAGCGGAATGTGTGTGAAATGCGAGGTTAAAGTACGGTCTTCCCAGATAGACTTCCACGGACTGCTTTCACCTGGAATCGTCCGCTGCCTGACCTTCTTCGTCTGAACCTTAGTCTGACCCTGGCCTACCAGCAGGCGGTGGCAGAAGCCGTTCAAGCGGCGGCCAGGCCAGATGTTGTGAGCCTCGGATCTGATGGAGTCATGCACAGAATGAGTCAGGGGCTCCGGTGTAGCCATATCATCGCAACAGATGTTGTCAACATAACCCACGCTTCTTGTGAGGTCTAGGAATTGCAGGGACTTGTGGTGGCGTTTGGAGGCAGTTGCCCGAGTTGCACCCAAATGTGAGGACCCAAGTCAAGCAGGAGCCTGAAGGACAGGGAGATGGGGCATGTTGGGCACTTGATGCGACCTTCTTGTCGTTGCGAAGAGGTCGGCTGTTGTTCTCGCGTAGATCTCTCACTCAGATAAAAGTGTGCGTGCCCGCAGCTGTGCAGGGGCTGCACAAGAGCCCAACAAGAAGGACAAGGTGACGGATGAGGAGAAGGACTAGAAAGTGTTTTTGCAATCCTTTGGCGCATTCTGTCCGAATCCAGGGGCTGAAATGACAAACCCGAAGTATGTGTCGTTCGTGAGCCAAGCGCCACGGTAGTCAGTAGGCCCCCGAAACCCCAAACCTGCGAACATCAGTGCATGGCCTACAAGACAAGAGTGAGTTCGCAGGAATCTCGCAGTGGCTGAGACAAGTGAAGGTATCTTAAAGCTGGTTCCGAATGCGCCCAAACCATTCAGGAGGCACGGGCCAAGGAAGCTGAGACAGAGAAGGCGAAGCGCCGCGAGGAGAAGTCGGCTGCAGAGAAATTCGCCACGCACAAGGCCCACATGTCTTCAATTTACATGTTAGACGCAGCAGGAAAAGTAGATCTCGCAGAGGGCGAGGTGAGGCATAGTCGTCACTAAAAAGTCGCTGTGTTCACGTAGGTTCTTTCGAAGAGTCAGGGGCTGTCGGGAGTACATCTACCAGGCAATAGAACGCAGGACGACACGAGACTAGCTAGCAAGTCTTGCGGCGCTTCTTGCAGGCAGCTGCCTGGCGTGGGTTGCTTCTCGGTTGAATGCGTGCTTCTTGGTGGCTGAGAAAAGCTGGCCCCAAATTCTCCAAATTGCTCTGACCCCTTAAGTTTTCTTGTCAAACTTTTCCAATCCAACCCGCCAGACTAGACTAATGTAGAGTTCCAGAGGCTCGAGTTGTAAACTGAGCTGCCTGAAGCTTCAAGCTGAGCTCCCTTTAAGCTCAGTCTCGCACTTGGTCTGAGCACTTTTCGAGTTCCCTGAAAAGGGGCCGAGTCCGAATCTCAGCCGCTCGCAGGCATTCCTCACTCTCGATCGGCCCGCAATCCTGGGCTCCAGAACTCAGCGCCGTCGTCACCCCCGAAGTGTTTTGGGCCACCCCCCCTCCCCCCATCTCCTCCAATTTGTTGCCATTCAGTACAAGTTCTCTGGTAGAATCATATCGCATGCCTAGTAGTGCCGTTAAGCTGAAGCCCTGCTACAAGTGACTGCGAATTTCTGCTCGGTTCCAAGGCACCTAAAGTTCGAGAAAGCGCAAGCAGCACTGGAGAAGAGCCTTTGCTGTCAAGATGCCAAGATTTCATTGGCTCAGTTGCAGGTCGGTTGACGGGGGTCTCGAGATACTGGACTTTTGAAGCAGCAGTTGTCTTTGATACAGCAATAGCCCGCAACGGAACCAACAACTAATTATGAGAAAGAGAACAAAGTCGTCCAGCTATCAGGGCATGCAAGCGGGCTCACCAAACCGAGAACGAATCTAAAGTTCAACTGTCAGCACCTAAAGTTGCAACTCACAAAGCAAGGTCCAGACAATGCTGATAGTGCAGCATTCATACGAACATGAGTGCGAACCCACGAACGAAAGGCAGGAACAACGAGAGTGAGCTGTTCCTGCTTCACTGATCGGTCGCTCATAGCGGGCCGCCCGAATCGAAGCCTGCTGCGGTTCGTGCAGCGGCCGATCCCGCTCATTGCCTCTTGATCAGATTGCCCTCATCCTGTTTGTTGCAATAGGGTTGCACCAGTAAGGGCAGGAGTTGAGTTAGGTAAACTGGGGCTTACCAGCATCTACCGTAGGATTGACTTCGAGATTCGTGCCGCCCAGCGAAGCGTGGCTGAGAAGGCCTGCTGTATAATGCTGCTTCGAGATTGTCCGAAGAGACAAAGACCGAGAGAGACCGAGAGAAAGGGGCTGAGAGAGAGAGGGGCCCAGTGCGGGGAGGAGAAGAGAAGAAGAAGAAGAAGAATAAGAAGAAGAAGAAGAAGAAGAAGAAGAAGAAGAAGAAGAAGAAGAAGAAGAAGAAGAAGAAGAAGAAGAAGAAGAAGACGAAGAAGAAGAAGAAGAAGAAGAAGAAGAAGAAGAAGAAGAAGAAGAAGAAGAAGACGAGGAGGAGGAGGAGGAAGAAGAAGAAGAAGAAGAAGAAGAAGAAGAAGAAGAAGAAGAAGAAGAAGAAAAAGAGAATGAGAGGCTTTACATTGACCTGCGAAGGGTGAAGAAGAAGCTTCGGCAAAGAAGAAAGTCCAGGACCTGAAAGATGGCAAGGCGATGCATGAGGCGAGCAGCAGTGCGTCAGGGAGTGTTGGGGTCACGATTACAATCATAGTGACTATACGGACCATAAGGAGCTACAAGTGAATGGGAAAGGCAGCAGCGAGACATGGCAGGCTGAATCTGAGCTCAAGGCTTTGGAGAAGAAGGCGCCGGCGAGAGCAGCTCAGCAACGAGTGATCGCAGAGAACGTAGCAAATCACGGAACCACCAAACGACCCAGTGACCGACCCTAAATGCGACACGCCACGACTCCGACTTCTCCGGAGGCTTCGGAGGCACGCATTGCCGAGCTCGATGCCAATGAGCGCCTTTCCGTCGAGGCTCCGCGGCCCAAACTGTTCGCCTACTATCCGGAAATCCAGAATTGAAATCCTGAAAGCGCATGGCTTGTTTTTTTTGATCTCATAATTAGGGGCTGTGGCATGCCGCCATTGTGACGGCGACCAATGTGCAGTTGCATTTGCCCCACAGCGGTGCTGCCAGGAGAAAGCTACAAAGCTCTTCTCAAGTGAGAAAGACTCCCGGATGTGCTTTGAAGCAAGTGAACATATGATACATATGTGAGCGTTCCTGGCTTCGGAAGATGGATGCAGAAGGGCATACAGGGGGCCTAAAACAACATGTCGGGAGGAGTCTGCCGAGAAGAACATGGCCTCGATGAGCCGCGCGGAAAAGAAAGCATTGGAGAAGGCCCGCAGATTGAGCCGCCTTGGTCGAGAGATCCGAACGGCAATCGCAAGAAACAGCAAACATTTGGGACCGTCATAAAGACCGCGATGGTCGCAAGCAGCCGCCATCCCCACCCCTCCATCCCAATTTCCCCTAGTGCCCTAGTGTGTCCTGAGGCGAAGTCAGTCAAGAGCAAACTTGAGGTGGCTGTAATGGAGCAGGAGGCACGCATCCGATGCCTCGGCTCGGGGTCGAAGCTGCCCAACTTTGTAGGGTGTGGGTGGCCCTTCGCTGATGTAGTTGTCAACGGCCTTAGATGAGATGTCCCTTGTGTGCTTACTCACTCCCTCTCTCATAGTCATATTCACATTTTCTGGGATCGCCCCTCGTGGAGAGACGGGCGGTCATATGCTCGCCACTGTTGCTGCTTGGAGCTTATCTGTTCAGGACACTCACTTTGGTGGCCCCTCTGCCGCTCTTCCCAGACCGAGACAGTTTCCAAGTTCAGACGACAACGCCCAAATTGATTTTCCGTCATTCTGGTCTCCATGTACTGTATGTAGCCCCTGCCTCTAGTGTGCTCGCGTGGCCTTTACAAGATTTTGAGATACCTTGGGCCAAGCGCCCGGGCTCTACGTGGCGTCTAGCGTTTTGGCAACGAGCATCTCATATGGAATCGATCGAGAGATTGAGATACTCGGTACATCTCGGTACGATGACCGTTCGGCAGGCATTGCAAAAAATCATCGACGAGAAGGAGAAGGCAGAGAGCGCAGCGTACAAGGACCCAGTGTCGAGCTAGACTTCTTGCTGAGACCTCTGACACATTTCGGTATGGCGTGCGTAATCGAAAGCACGCTCTCCGCTCTCCTTGGACCGTTGGGTTGATAATTTTTCCTGCCTACCAGGCAGTCGGCAACAACATGTGCCGCTTATTTTTTGCCGCAGGAGTGTGCGGTGGAGATGGCCAAGGCTTCCAAGCATGGGGGGCGGGTTCTTATGTGGGACAGGTTGTACAGACCTGCAGTCTTCTGCTCAAAAAAAATATCGCCAAGATAAACCCAGTGCTGGATGGAAATCTGTTCAGACAGGCTTTGGAGTACGGCAAGGAGCGCGAGAAAGCCCAGAAACTGGACAGCAGTCTTCCATGACCTATGGGGGATGGCATGTGAAAATGTTAGCACTTAAAGCAGCATCTGCAGTGCTTTCAGGGAGGGTCGGAGTGAAGGGGGGCTCGACATACAAAAGTAGCCCAAGCCGATGCTGAAAAAGAAGTTTCGCATTCGGTGAAAGCCAGTGCAAGGCAGAGCTTGGAAGCAAAAACAAAGGAAGAAAAGGCGGGCAGCCGACACTCCTGTGGCGCAGTTTTGGAGTGCGAAGTGCTTGATTGTATTTCTGTCAGTCGGTTACCATTTACGGAGTTTGCCGCGGCATGCGACAGAGCATCCGTCCTTGGCACACGCCTCGCCTTCTCTCCTCGCACGATGTCTCTCAAGGCCATCGAGGCAGAGATCACCAAGCTGAAGCAGAAGCTGGTCCCGTGGCTGTTGGTTTGGCCGTCAAAAGTGCCTTCAATGTTTGGCTGCAGAAATGTGCAGAATTCCTGCGGGCCCTCGGGCTGAGGATGAAGTCCGGAAGGAGAAGGAGACTGCGCAGATATTGGCCACGCTGAAGGACTCAGAAATTTAATTTACTTGTGCATCTCGCGCAAAGCACATTCATCTTCAGAACACGTAACACGCAGGCGTAGCCCCCACATCGACACAAGACGGCTAGCCAGGAAAGTATCAGGAGACGGCAGACCTGCCAAGCAGGAAGGCATGAGCAGCTCGCAAGCCACAGCCGCTATGGCCATAGAAAATGCAAAGCTGACAAGGTCACAGAAGCTTTGTCAGGTCTTGCGGAGAGTGGCACGTTCCTTTTTAAGCTTTCAGTATAGACTGCATATAAGCAATTATGCAGAGTTGTTGCTTTGAGGGGACTATCCTGCCCGCGGCTTCCCACCAATTAATCAGCACATGGGAGTTTTATTTGACGCTAGAATTGTGGTTTGGCACTTGCGTTGGCCTGACAAGAGGACGCTGCCGAGAAGACCTCCTTCCAGAGAGCTCGGGGACTTGAGAAGAAGGCCACAAAAATAGCAGCGGAAGCATGGCAAGCAATCTCTGAATCAATCTGCTGTCCATGCATCCCTATCCCGTGCGCTGGCAGTATAACGAGACAGCCGTGGGTTGTGGATGCGCGTTGCACCGGCACTAGACCCCGGTACGCTCCGAAGAAGGTCCCAGACCTGGTCGTCCCCGGTCATTCCCCGGCATTCCCAGTCACATCGTTGTCCCATTTCGTTTTGGCTCGTGCCGCTCCACAACAAAGCTAAGGAGAAGAAGAGCTCGTGTGAGGCATTGGAAAAAGCGGACCGGAGCTGCGAGGCGTGTTGCCTTGGCCCATTGGCAACTCGGGTCCCACGTCCGTCCACCTGCCCCTGCATTCTTGAAAGCGCAAACCAGAAAGTGCACCTTTCGCTTGGACACCGCAAATGCATTGAATGCATTGGCAGGCCTGCAGCAAAGAGGCAGCAGAGCACGAGACAGCAGCGTTGCAGGCAGGGTTGCCGATGCCTTGAGGCTGTGTCAAACTGCAGACGGCCTCTGAATCCTATTGAAGGCTTCAAAGAACCGTGTGGCAGCCGAGCGGAAGATGCAGGCAGGGCTTTGTTCACGCTTCCGGGATTTCAGGTAAGCCCTGGTCCTGTCCGCATCACTCCGCCTCGGCCGAGTCAGACTGTGACTTCCCGTGAAAGGAAAGAGTCGGGATTTCTAAAACTGTGACGGTCGAGCTGGTCCAGTCTGCAGTTGGAATAGTTTTAGTCGACGAGGTGTTTGTGTATGTGTGTTGCGCCGCCCTCACACGTTGACAAGCCGAAGTGTGGACAAAAAGTGGATCGAAGGGTAAGCAAGAACCATTCAAAACCCCTTTAACAAAACCATTCAAAACCCCTTGAAACAAAAACCATTCAAAACCCTTAAACAAAACCCTTCAAAACCCCTTTATACACAATATATATATATATATATATAATATTATATATATATGTATATATATATATATATATATATATTGAATGATTCTGAGATTCTGTTTTGTTAGGAGAAGGAAGGTGGCACCCGTGGGATGACCGAGGCCAAGGTGCGCCCCCTCCGTGGCAGGCATTGGAAGCAGCAGACATGCTTTTGCTCTTGCTCTCTTGCTCTCTTGCTCTCTTGCTCTCTTGCTCTCTTGCTCTCTTGCTCTCTTGCTCTCTTGCTCTCTTGCTCTCTTGCTCTCTTGCTCTCTTGCTTACTTTTTGGTGCAGAGCTCTCTCTGCCTCTTTAGGGGATCTCCTGCTTGCTTCTTTTTCTTATGCGGGGGCGGGGGGGGGGGGGGTTTCGATTTTCCACGAAAGCCCGACTCCTCGCCCCGAAGCCCCGAACAACAGTGCGAGGCCGCGGTGAAGCAGGCTTGCTCCGAGCGCAGCGCGGCCGAGCGGCGCGTGGAGGAAGCCAAGAAGGCTCTCCAGGCATGGGGGATGGTGGGGGGGGGGGGGGGGGCCCAATCGCTCGCAAGACATCAGTCGAGATTCGTGACATATTCAGCATATGGCGATGTCAATTTTATGTGGCGATGCCGTGGTGATGGCGTGCGTTCTGCGTTCAGCTTGTCAAAAGGCTCTCCAGGAGAGCGTGCGCAGTGCCTCCGCGGATGCCCGGAACCGCTCCGTGCGGCGAGCAGAGGCCGAGGAGTGTTTCGGCAGCATGTACACGTTTCTCGTCAGACCTACCAAAGCAATGGAGACATGGACAGAGAGACGGTTCAGTTTGCACGAAGTGTGCTTCTTCATCGTGATTTCAGTAGACAGCTCAGCTCAATGTCTCCCAGTTCTCACAGTCGTGATAGCTGAGGAAGTTGAAGGGCCTGCGGCGAAACTTGGAAAGGTTCATATCCTCGTTTTCAACAGGCGTATCATACGAACGCCTGCTGCAGCCCGTGCGTAGAACCAGCAGTCCGAACTCGAAAGGCCAGTCAGGAATCCAAAGTCGGCATATGGTCAGGCGGGGGTCTTAAAAGGCCCTTGCCAAGCCCTAAGCCCAAACCTACTCAAACCTTAAACTTTAAACTTTAAAGCCTATAAACCCTAAAGCCCCAAGACTGAAACCCAAGCCCTAAACCCGAAAGCCCTAATAACCCCGAACCGCCACAGCCCTCAACCAGAAGCCCTCAACCCTAACCCATCTTTGTTTGAAGTTGCACTTGAGTGGGAATCTTGCAGGCTGCCATAGAGAGAACCGGTCGAATCTTTGCCTGCCTTGTGCGAGTGTGAGAGCCGAAGCCCTAACCCGAGGGGGGGAGTAAAAGGATCATGACCCTTAAGCTCTAAAGCCTAAACCCTAATACTTTAAAGTTAACAGCTTCAAAACCTTAAGCTTCATACCTAGAACCCTATGCCCCAAACCCTCAAACCCACAGCCACACCACCAAACCCACAACCACACCAGGGGGGGGGGGGCGAAGAGGCAAGAGGAGGGGGGGGCGGGTGGGAGGGCGAGGGGGGGGCCGCGGAGCGGGTAACCATGTGTAGCGTGGTGCTGAAAGTTCAGTGTTCTTCACCGCCCGTGGCTTAGGATCGCAAGACAGCGCCCAGGAGAAGTTGCAGGAACTGAGCCAACAGGCAGTTTGTCTCGCCTTGTGGGGATCTCTGGTGCTTTTGAAAGGGAGCCCGGAGAGAGCTTGCTACAGTAGGGGTGACCCTGCCCAAACAACTCCAGAGTTATTGCTTTTTTTAACGACCCCGTGTGGGCTGCCGATTTTGTCAATCGCATTCTGGTCCGTTCCCGTTTCATGGCTGAGCACTGAATGCTAGTTCGGCCGAGGTAAAGAAAGCAGAGGATGAGCGCAAAGCCGCCGAGAAGGCAGCCGCGGAGGCACAGATGCTGGCTGAGTCCGTTTGAGTACGAATTGTGCATAAGAGGAAAATGGTAATCGAATAAATACATGTTTTTTTTTAGTTTTTTCAACTAGTGACATGTCATCGGCATGCGGATCATACACAAATTGTCTAGGATCAAGAAGTGATGCGTTCGGAATCAACAACTAGTTAGTTGAGCACCAAAAAGTGCTCACAGGCAAACACCAAAATTAAGACGCAGAGAGACCAGAAGAAAGAGATAAACCAAGAGATGAGGACCGAATGCAAGTAAGAACAAATGCATAACGAAAGAAGAGAACCGGCGACTTCCAACATCAACGCTCGGTTCGTGGTTCTCGGGTGTGGGAGGCCTCTCAGAGTTCCAGGATCAACGCTCGGTGTGCCGGCAGCGTTGCATGTGTTTACATTCATTGTGGGTGGACACATCACACGTTGATAACACTCGGCAAAACTAGCCGAAGCCAAGCCACATTCTAAGAGCTCGAGCAGCTTGCAGCCACAGCCAACCAAGCTGTGTGCCTTTTTGAACCTCCACCCCGCTCAGCCACAGCCGGCCCAAACACCCCATACCGAAGCGACGGCAAATCGCAACAAGAACAGTTCACGGCTTGTTTAACCCTCAGGTAGGAATTTGCAGTATGTGCAGCCTGTGAATGATGAGTCGTTTGCAGATTTTGGAGCTTTTGAAAGGTCAGATGTGCCATGGACTAAAGGATTTGAGTACTTTGCAGCATTTGGAGCTTGCAAGCAGTCAGAAATAAATGCTGCAAAATGTAGTGTCTGCGGCTGTGACAGTGACAGTGTCAAATAGCTTTAGAAATTTGGGGCCGCCAATGCTTGTGCGCGCCTTGCACTTCCCCGACTTGTCCGCAGCCGCCTTGCAGGGTATCAGCTTTAATTTTCTAATGCTACGCAACCTGCCGCGACTGGGGCCCGTTGCCACGGCGAGGTCGTCACTTCAAGGAAATCTAGGTCTTTGAAGGGTATGTAGCCGTTGGCGGAGGAGTGGGGGCGTTTTTTTTTTTGTTTGCGTGTGCACTTTTTTTCCTTGTTTTTACAAGTGTCTTGTTTTGCATGTTTTTCGTTGAGACTGGGGGTAGGAGGTCTTGCCTCACAGACTGTCAAGGCAAAGCAAAGTACATAAAACACAGAAGCTTGGTGGTACCCATCCCAAGCAAAAAAGCTAAATTGAATAAAAGGGTGGCACAACCTAGGAAGGGGAACCTATACATTTACATATATATATATATACACACCTACGGCGCGAGACGTCGGCGGATATTAGCTCGTGCAGAGTTGTCACCAAACGTCGCCGCAAACTGTGTAGCCCCTCGTATCCCCTCGTACACCGAGTGAAGCATGCTGCAGGCAGGCAAGTCACGAGGGCGGAGTCGATCGCAGGCTCGAGCGTAGACGATCCTTCAGATGCACTGACATGTCCTAGGCTTCCTATAGGGTTTGCAAGCGTGCGAAGTGTGCGATTAGACTGGTTAGACAAGTCGCCAGGGAGCTCTTCTGTTGCATGAGCTTCTCCTTCTACGAACCTCAGTGAACATTCGCCCTGCAGGAAAGGCGAGGCAAAGCAGCAAAATGAGCCGCACACAGCCGGCCACCTCAAAGAGAGGCAACTTGAGACATCTCGTGATGCGTGTTACTAGGGGTTCATGTTGGGGAACTCTCCCAGCCATCTGGCGCTGATGGCAGGACTGCAACACTTGCACTTGCCCACCGATGTCGGACCGCCGGACCAGATCAAGCATGCGTGGACTGCGCGGATCATCGCAGGTGCAGGTATGACAGGTCCTCAACGTAAGCAGATGCCACAAGACGTGCACATTACCGCTGCACTGAGACGACCTAGACCCGAGACCGACTAGAGCTCGACCGCCGCTTCGGGATGGACCAAACAGACGAGCGCTTGAACTTGCGTCTGTTTTGTTTTGTTCTGTCGGGTTCCCTCCATTCTGAAGCTTTTGTCAGACTATGAGAACAGCCCTGTTGTAGGTCACCCTGCTGTAAGGCGAGGGGAAGTGTGGACCTGCCCAGTTGGACATTGCCAGGCCTCGGCGCAAGCGAGGGCTTTGGCCGAGAAGCTCCGTGTGCTAGAGGCTGGGAGTGGGTGTTTCGTATTGTGAAGCTCATGACTCACCCTAACAGATCTAACAGCTACCAGTAGCACCTAAGAACTTGTAAGGCTCCCTCCCAAAGCTGCGAGAGGAGTAATTATAGATGTTTCTTGCGTGAACCCTGCTGCTCTCGCAACAGCAGAAGCCACCAACAGAATCCCTCCATGATATCGAGACTAGAAGATTCATTGATTCTTCCATCAACTCATCCATTCATCCAGTCATACACACACACACATTCTCCCGAACGCACCTCATCAGCCCATACCTCCGTGTAGGAGGAACGAAAAGCGGCAGACGAAGCTGCAGTGGCTTCCGAGGCAGGGCGCGGAGTGACGGAGTGGCTTGAACTCCAATCCACATGCGAAACTGCTGTGGTCGGGTCTTCGATCAGAAGCAGTATCATGCAGTTCTTTGACACCTCGTACAAGTTGCAGGCACACAAGCATTCGCATCTGCGGTCGTGCATTCCATGGCTCTTTGTGGGGTAGTGAGGTGAAGTGAAGAGAACGCGCTGCAGTCTGCAGTCGCATCCAGCAGTGTCAGCGTGCCATGGCGCTGAAGCGGATTCAGAAGGAGCTGCAGGACCTGGGGAACGATCCGCCCGCGAACTGCTCGGCGGGGCCAGTTGGAGACGACCTGTTCAACTGGCAAGCGACGATCATGGGGCCCCCCGACTCTCCGTACACCGGCGGCGTGTTCTTTCTGAACATCAACTTCCCGTCCGACTACCCGTTCAAGCCGCCGAAGGTGCACTTCACCACGAAGATCTACCATTGTAACGTGAATTCGAACGGGGCGATCTGCCTCGACATCCTGAAGGATCAGTGGAGCCCAGCGCTGACCATTTCGAAGGTCTTGTTGTCCATCTCGTCTTTGCTGACCGACCCGAACCCCAACGACCCGCTCGTGCCGGAGATCGCGCAAGTCTACCTGAAGGACCGGGCCAAGCACGACCAAACGGCGCGCGAGTGGGTCCAGAAGTACGCGACATAGGCCTGAGTACGCCCTAGCCAGGGAAGTGTTTAGCGCATTTTGTCCTAGCCAAAACTTGACTGACGGCTTGACGCCGGCTTGACAGGGATGCAAAAGATGCTGTGGCCGTGAAATGTCGAGATGCGTCGCGCGCGAAACGCGCTTGAAACGCGCTTGAAGCTTGTCGCGCTGTGGTGACGGTAGTCTGAAATCTTAGACCCAAGCATCTTGAGGCTAAATCGGATCCCTATCTGATGATTTCAGAGGCTGAGTCTTTGCTGGCCGTGACCCGCAGCTGCAGCTTAGTACAAAGTCCAGCAGTGGCATCAAGTCGTGGTCCTTGCGCCATGGCGCTGAAGCGGATTCAGAAGGAGCTGCAGGACCTGGGGAACGACCCGCCGGCGAACTGCTCGGCGGGGCCAGTTGGAGATGACCAATTCAACTGGCAAGCGACGATCATGGGGCCCCCAGACTGTCCGTACTCCGGCGGCGTGTTCTTTCTGAACATCAACTTCCCGTCCGACTACCCGTTCAAGCCGCCGAAGGTGCACTTCACCACGAAGATCTACCATTGTAACGTGAATTCGAACGGGGCGATCTGCCTCGACATCCTGAAGGATCAGTGGAGCCCAGCGCTGACCATTTCGAAGGTCTTGTTGTCCATCTCGTCTTTGCTGACGGACCCGAACCCCAACGACCCGCTAGTGCCGGAGATCGCGCAGCTCTACCTGAAGGACCGGGCCAAGCACGACCAAACGGCGCGCGAGTGGGTCCAGAAGTACGCGACATAGGCCTGAGTACGCCCTAGCCAGGGAAGTGTTTAGCGCATTTTGTCCTAGCCAAAACTTGACTGACGGCTTGACGCCGGCTTGACAGGGATGCAAAAGATGCTGTGGCCGTGAAATGTCGAGATGCGTCGCGCGCGAAACGCGCTTGAAACGCGCTTGAAGCTTGTCGCGCTGTGGTGACGGTAGTCTGAAATCTTAGACCCAAGCATCTTGAGGCTAAATCGGATCCCTATCTGATGATTTCAAAGGCTGAGTCTTTGCTGGCCGTGACCTGCAGCTGCAGCTTAGTACAAAGTCCAGCAGTGGCATCAAGTCGTGGTCCTTGCGCCATGGCGCTGAAGCGGATTCAGAAGGAGCTGCAGGACCTGGGGAACGACCCGCCGGCGAACTGCTCGGCGGGGCCAGTTGGAGATGACCAATTCAACTGGCAAGCGACGATCATGGGGCCCCCAGACTGTCCGTACTCCGGCGGCGTGTTCTTTCTGAACATCAACTTCCCGTCCGACTACCCGTTCAAGCCGCCGAAGGTGCACTTCACCACGAAGATCTACCATTGTAACGTGAATTCGAACGGGGCGATCTGCCTCGACATCCTGAAGGATCAGTGGAGCCCAGCGCTGACCATTTCGAAGGTCTTGTTGTCCATCTCGTCTTTGCTGACGGACCCGAACCCCAACGACCCGCTAGTGCCGGAGATCGCGCAGCTCTACCTGAAGGACCGGGCCAAGCACGACCAAACGGCGCGCGAGTGGGTCCAGAAGTACGCGACATAGGCCTGAGTACGCCCTAGCCAGGGAAGTGTTTAGCGCATTTTGTCCTAGCCAAAACTTGACTGACGGCTTGACGCCGGCTTGACAGGGATGCAAAAGATGCTGTGGCCGTGAAATGTCGAGATGCGTCGCGCGCGAAACGCGCTTGAAACGCGCTTGAAGCTTGTCGCGCTGTGGTGACGGTAGTCTGAAATCTTAGACCCAAGCATCTTGAGGCTAAATCGGATCCCTATCTGATGATTTCAGAGGCTGAGTCTTTGCTGGCCGTGACCCGCAGCTGCAGCTTAGTACAAAGTCCAGCAGTGGCATCAAGTCGTGGTCCTTGCGCCATGGCGCTGAAGCGGATTCAGAAGGAGCTGCAGGACCTGGGGAACGACCCGCCGGCGAACTGCTCGGCGGGGCCAGTTGGAGATGACCAATTCAACTGGCAAGCGACGATCATGGGGCCCCCAGACTGTCCGTACTCCGGCGGCGTGTTCTTTCTGAACATCAACTTCCCGTCCGACTACCCGTTCAAGCCGCCGAAGGTGCACTTCACCACGAAGATCTACCATTGTAACGTGAATTCGAACGGGGCGATCTGCCTCGACATCCTGAAGGATCAGTGGAGCCCAGCGCTGACCATTTCGAAGGTCTTGTTGTCCATCTCGTCTTTGCTGACGGACCCGAACCCCAACGACCCGCTAGTGCCGGAGATCGCGCAGCTCTACCTGAAGGACCGGGCCAAGCACGACCAAACGGCGCGCGAGTGGGTCCAGAAGTACGCGACATAGGCCTGACGTATGAAGTTTTTGTCACATCATCCTCGAGCTGAATCAGGACAGCTTGCTGACACGAGAAGCAAAAAAGACCTTGTGGCGATCATGGCGAGCGCGACAGAAGTTGATGCAACACAGTCAGCTATTGTACGATAGAAATCATATGTCTCAGCCACACAGGGTATATACAAGTCTTGCTCGACATCCCAGGGTAGCACATAGTGACATAAAGGTGTAAACGGTTCAGATGCATCCACACCATTCTTTACATGCCACCTCTGTGCACAACTATGGCTTGATGTTGTCGGTCCTGTCTGATCCTGTGTGCACGTTGCCATCATACTATCCCTACTTCGGGACACGCTTGTGAAAATGAACGAAGAAATAGGAATCTTGCCCTGGCTCGATACTATAGGGCGAAGTGGGCTCGTAGTAAGATTGAAACTAACAGTGGCACCATGGCGCTGAAGCGGATTCAGAAGGAGCTGCAGGACCTGGGGAACGACCCGCCGGCGAACTGCTCGGCGGGGCCAGTTGGAGACGATCTGTTCAACTGGCAAGCGACGATCATGGGGCCCCCAGACTCTCCGTACACCGGCGGCGTGTTCTTTCTGAACATCAATTTCCCTTCCGACTACCCGTTCAAGCCGCCGAAGGTGCACTTCACCACGAAGATCTACCATTGTAACGTGAATTCGAACGGGGCGATCTGCCTCGACATCCTGAAGGATCAGTGGAGCCCAGCGCTGACCATTTCGAAGGTCTTGCTGTCCATCTCGTCCTTGCTGACGGACCCGAACCCCAACGACCCGCTAGTGCCGGAGATCGCGCAGCTCTACCTGAAGGACCGGGCCAAGCACGACCAAACGGCGCGCGAGTGGGTGCAGAAGTACGCAACCTGAAGCAACAGACCCGAGGCCTTTGCTTCTGGAGGCTCTCTATTCTGTTTCATCCCCATGGACAGCAGAGGGGTGAGTGGCAAATTCGAGCACTGTAGTTTTGATTGTGGAGCTCATCTGAGGAGCAGGCTTGCACTGTTTTGCACCCTAGCTGTGTGTTTAACTGGATCTGTTGCTGGTGCCAAGAACGTTCTGGTGAATGCCAGTTGCCTCAAATGAGCTTGTCTCGGTCTCTTCCTGCTGTGCATGTTTTGGCAGTGATCGCCATCAACCGCAGGATGGGAAGTTTACCCAAGCCTGGCAAAGAAGGAGTAAAGTTCAGCTTCCTCATTGTGTGCCTTTGCCTCTTGTTTCATCAAGTTGTGTCATGCATCCGTTGGTGCTGGCGCCTATTTAGTTTACGCAGGCTTTGCTCGGCCGTCCGACCTTGGCCCAGCATCCATCAGCAATTAGCTGTTGTGGTGGTTGTTCTTCCTGTTGTTTCAGCTTTTGCTCTTGAGAGCAGCCATCGTGGTCCTTGCGCCATGGCGCTGAAGCGGATTCAGAAGGAGCTGCAAGACCTAGGAAACGACCCGCCGGCGAACTGCTCGGCAGGGCCAGTTGGAGATGACCAATTCAACTGGCAAGCGACGATCATGGGGCCCCCAGACTGTCCGTACTCCGGCGGCGTGTTCTTTCTGAACATCAACTTCCCGTCCGACTACCCTTTCAAGCCGCCGAAGGTGCACTTCACCACGAAGATCTACCATTGTAACGTAAATTCGAACGGGGCGATCTGCCTCGACATCCTGAAGGATCAGTGGAGCCCAGCGCTGACCATTTCGAAGGTCTTGCTGTCCATCTCGTCTTTGCTGACGGACCCGAACCCCAACGACCCGCTAGTGCCGGAGATCGCGCAGGCCTACCTGAAGGACCGGGCCAAGCACGACCAAACGGCGCGCGAGTGGGTGCAGAAGTACGCAATGTGAAGCAATAGACCCGAGGCCATTGCTTCTGGAGGCTCTCTAGTCTTGTTTCATCCTCATGGACAGTAGAAGGGTGAGTTGCAAATTCGAGAACTGTACTTTTGATTGTGGAGCTCATCTGAGGAACAGGCTCACACTGTTTTACATCCCTGCTACACTGGAGTTGTTGTCAGTACTGAACGTTCTGGTGAAGGTGCCAGTTGCCTCAAATGAGCTTGTTTCCTGTTTCGCAGTGATGGCCATCAACCGCTGGATTGGAAGTTTACCCAGGCCTGGCAGACCAAACAAGGCTCAATCTCTTGCTGACACGCCTCACCCTTGTGCCACATGTGCGTTTTTCACACTTGCCTGCCCATGTGTCTTGGGCCCAGAAGAGTTGTCATTGGGGTGGCCATATAATATAGTCTAGCCCAGGCGCCATGGCGCTGAAGCGGATTCAGAAGGAGCTGCAAGACCTGGGGAACGACCCGCCGGCGAACTGCTCGGCAGGGCCAGTTGGAGATGACCAATTCACCTGGCAAGCGACGATCATGGGGCCCCCAGACTGTCCGTACACCGGCGGCGTGTTCTTTCTGAACATCAACTTCCCGTCCGACTACCCGTTCAAGCCGCCGAAGGTGCACTTCACCACGAAGATCTACCATTGTAACGTGAATTCGAACGGGGCGATCTGCCTCGACATCCTGAAGGATCAGTGGAGCCCAGCGCTGACCATTTCGAAGGTCTTGCTGTCCATCTCGTCCTTGCTGACGGACCCGAACCCCAACGACCCGCTAGTGCCGGAGATCGCGCAGCTCTACCTGAAGGACCGGGCCAAGCACGACCAAACGGCGCGCGAGTGGGTCCAGAAGTACGCAACCTGAATGACGTCCAAGTCTCATGAGGCTTCTTGGTTGACGACCCAATGCAGAGAGGGGAGTAAGTTTTGGCAAAGCCGTACAGCTTCTCACGCGTGCACAGATGCACAGACAGGCGCGTCTGTGACCGCAGTTTCCATACAGTCTCCATTTGATGCATCATTGAATGGACCAGAAAAGCCTGCATGTTTTCGATACCGTTGGCCAGCTACATGCATGGACGCCAATAGAGTCAATAGAGTCCCAGAGGCAAGGCATGAACTGCCAGGCGCTTCGGCTGTCAGTCACGCAGCGCCTGCAGCAGGCTGCCGCTGAGGCTTGCAGAGTTGTTGAGAGGTGTCCCAAGGGGTAACTACGGTTCATGTCGCCGCTGGAGTGTGGTTCTCACCTGCACGCGGAATCACGTGGATACACCTGTAAGTGCTTGTGCTTCCAAAGTGGGGGGCTGTGTAGTATCACGTAGCGTGTAAGAAGTTGTGGTTGCCCCAGACCTATGATCAGAACAGTCTAGAATGATGCCGAGCGGCCTCACAGTAATGCCGCCAAGATGGCGGCTGATGCTCCCCACCTTGGATCCGAAGGATTTAGCATTGATTTAGCCATATGATTTGACTTGCTGGAAAGGGGTTCTCTTCCTCTGCAAGCTTGCTTCGCGGATGCTTCGCGTTCCGGGGGGAGAGGGGGGGGGCATTGGGGGGGTCCAAAGCAACGCGATAACATGACAAGCAACCCTGTGGCCCGCGAACAAGAGTTCAGAGAACTCCGTGTATGTTACCTGAGCCAGAATCTCGGAATTGGCCAGATGGTTTTGAGAAGGGCTCATGGCCCCATGGCATGCGACGCTTGCTGCTCAGGGGGTGTGAAGAGCTGTGCCCGGTCCCCACACACCCTTCAAGCATGATGCACTTTAGCCAATGGCTCTGAGCCAACTCTTTCGATCGGTCGCGTTTAGTGGGTCCGAAGGGGGTGTCGTTGAGAAGGGGGAGGCGGTGAATTGGCTTCATCTGCTCTGGACGAACCCATCCCCGACACCTTCCCACAGGTTGACCTGGCCAAAGCCACTGCTGAAGCTGCCAGCATGGAGGCACAGAAAAAGAACGTTAGCATCTTCGGCCTTGTGCTCAAGTTGCTCAAGCAAGAGACGTGAGAAATACTACGTGCGGTTTCTTGACTAAATCCGGCTTGTTGCCAGCTGACAGGCACGGCATTTGCAAGACATCGTTGTGCGAGCGAAGGCCGGCAACATCCGTTAAGCACCCTGAACTTAATGTAGTGCCATGTAGCACCGAATGTAGTCTTGAAGTAACTTGATTGGGTTGCAGAGCGCCCGCCTGCCCAATTGCGCCTCAGCTGGGACTCCCGAACGTCAAGAAGCGCTCCCGTTCCGACCTCTAAAAAGTCCTTCCTTCAAGTCCCGCCCCCCCTCCAACCCAAGGAGGCCCAACAGCAAAGAAAATCCCATGGTTTTGGGGGGCCAAGGCCAGGCCCAAATGGAAATGAGGGGCTCATGTGCTTAGGTTTAAGACAATCAACCCCTCACTTTCTTGATTTTCGTTGGGGCCTGGACCCTGGACCTGGGTTTTCGTAACGCGCTCTTTTTGATCTCTGGCGCTTTTGGGTATCAACTCTCGGCCGAGCTCCTCATTTTATTGAACCACTATGTTCTGACTGCACCATAACTGCTTTTCTGCAGTATGTCGAGCAGTGTAGTGGCATGCTGATGAACCACGGAGCAGGTGAACCATACATCCAGCCTCGCTGTGTCCGAGGCTCGCTTTACCACAGCATAGGGGGATCAACATATCATTTCTCCATGGGCAGCTGCTAGCCCCAACGGTTTGCGTTCAGAGCTTCCAAGGTTGCTTGGCCAATGTGTGCAGTAGTGGCTTTCATCTATCCAAAGTAGGTGGAGACACTGGTGGAGACTGATGATGTCGTGTTGGATTGTGGTCTCGAGGAGAGGTCAGCTGAAAAGGCAAAGAAGGGCAGAGCTGGAGACTCCAAACTGGCCCTTCGGCGCTTGTGGCGATGTTGAACGCGCCACAATGTAGACGAAGTCGACATTTTGGTAGTGCTCAGTGTGGTGCCGTCCTGATTCCCTCTGGACGTGATCGACCAATGAGGTCGTCGAGCCGGACTCAAATTGATTGTGGGTTTCGGTGGGCGCTCAAAGTAGTTCATGGCACTCGCCAGTGATGAAAGCGCGCTCATGTACAGTTTGATGTTGTTGTCTTTTGGTCTCGGAAGGTGACTCGCATCAACAGCAGATCCGGCCCCCCAAGCTGAAGCGTTGCACGACAGCAAGTTTTACGGGGGGCGGGGGGAAGGCCGAAACACAGAAAAGAGACTAGAAAAGAAGAAGACACAATTCCTGGGGCGAGCTGTCCCCAACTCGTTTCGCCAGCCACTCCGAAAGTCTTTGTTTGCATTGGCATGGGCTGGCCCCTGCAGTTGCTGTGTGCAATGTACTCGCAGGAACAAAGGCTCCACACACATGATCGGCCTGTTTTGGGCATTCACAGAAATTCAAACTTCTTATGTCACTGTTACAATACACATTTTCAGGCATGTCAGGCATGGTTTAGGGCTGGGTGTGCGTGCGCCCTGTGTAAGCTCAAAAGGCCCAAAGTCCAAAAGTGCATCCCTCGAACATGTCGGTAAGTCTGGCTCTTGGAAGGCCAACCACGGACGAAAGCGAGAGCTAAGCATCGCGAATGTTGCAAAAGGAAATGGTCGTAACCGTCGAAAAGTCCTCACATACCACAAGCGCAACGAATGAATCAGACGTTGCGAAGGATACAATAGGCACGCGGGAAATCAGTGGGGAGAACGCAAGAGAGGAAGAAACCATCTTTACGACAACGATTTCGGACTGTGCCCTTACCTTCCAGAAAGCTTTCGTAGACAAGACAAGCTGCGTTGAGAGGAGACATCTTTCCGGCCATATAACCCATGAAATCCAGATCCATGGCGCCAACAATCTGGCAATAAAAAACTGCAGGTTTGTCTTGAATTGCTGATTGAAGCAACCTTGGAAGAATTAAAGATAGGCAGTCGAATCAATGGCAAACCGTAGCGTAAAGCAACTAAAGACTAAAGCAAAGCTGAAGTACAGCAGTGCAAAGCAAAACACCGGCATCTTATGGTCCTTCGAGCATTTCGAACTGCCCGGAGGGCTTGGTGGAGCGCTCTCCTGTGCCAATCCCGACGAAGCCGACCCTCCGGGACTCTGAGGCGAGTACTTGGACTCGGGGGAGTGAAATGTGCGGGGAGCGACGGTCCTTCTGCGCCTCTTTACCTAAATGCCCAAAAAATTGCCTTCTCCTGTTCCTTGTTTCGAAGGCCTATGCGGAAATGGCCATGGCCTTGGAGGAGATCCAGAGGCCCCGCGGCCCAAGCAACCCTCGAGCTCTGCTCTGCTGCCCCCCCCCTCTTTCCTTAGAGAGCTGAGAGCTGAATGATGATGAATGATGATGAGCTATGCAGCAGAGGTGGCGCCTTCATGGCACGCCGCCGAAGAACGGGCCCGGGGCTTATGCTGGGCTTAAAGCGGGGCTTGCGTTTTGCGAGGCCTTGCCAGACGGCGCTGGAACTCTTCAACATGCTGTGCTGTTTAACTGTTAATTAACTGTTAACTGTTAACTGTTAACTGCTAACTGCTAACTGCTAACTGCTAACTGCTAACTGTTAACTGCTAACTGTTAACTGTTGTTCAGGTCCGCATTGCAGAACAGCTTGAAGGCCTTGCGCATGTCGCTCTTGTTCTGACCAAGGGTAGGACAGACTAAACTGAACGTTGAAGGCATGAAGGTGTGGCTCATAGATTCGGTTCCATGGCAAGGCTCGAATTGAGGATGTGGAGCTCCCGCCTCAAAAAGCTGAGATGAGCTGAGCCATGCTGAGCTCGGAGGCTGCGCAAAGTACCGATGTAAATAAAATTCGACGCTGTATGCTGAGGTGTCAGCTTCTGGCTGCTCGGGCGATACGCGAGCGTGGGCTCAAAGAGGTGGCAGCAAAAAACTGGGGAGAGCCACCTCTTAGAGTCTCACTCTTCGAGTCTCTCATCTCAGAGAATGCCATCAAATCCTCCATTGTCTTTGAGTGCTTCTAAATTGTCGGGTCGAGCTTCTGAGCTTTGGAGCTTTACTGGCTTTACTGGCTTTACTCCACCAGGGTGGAAGCACAATGGCGGGAATTGCAGCTGCGGCCGTTTCTGCTGCCCGTTGTGCAAGCAGCCACAATCTCAGAGCACCTGCAAGTCACACGGGCACACGCGCTGCGCGCGGGGGCTTCTGGTACCTCTGGTTGTCCTGCAGGCGAAGATCGCCTCGCCGAGCTTGAGGCCCGAATCTCGAGTCAGGTATAGACTCTTGAGATCTTCTGCAAATCCTCAGTTGCCTCCCAACACCACAGTTCGTGTAGGTCCAGCTTCAGCCTTTGTTCAGGAAGACCTTCAAAGCACAAGGGAAGTGAAGGCAGCTGCGGAGGTCTGCCAGCTGATTTCTAAGGCCTAGGGCTATGAAGCCAGTCATTTCGCAATCGTGCAAAGCCGAAGGCATTGATGAAAGAGATTGCCATCAATCCGGTGGAATCAGCAGGCAGAAAGAAGCTGGCGGAGGTTTTCCTTGTTGCTGACTTGACGCGGAAGGAAGGGAATGTGGCCAGGTGCAATTGTCGAGAGCCCAGTGGGCATCAACAACGAGGCGGAGTGCCTGCAGGCAAAGGCTGCACGGAGTCTGTACGGGTTGTGGAGCAGAACCGCAAGAGCATTGTGGAGTAAGAGGCAGCTCACACATTACTCACGCATTACACCAGATTCATTAGGCCTCTGGGATTGCATTTCAGACTGCAGGCGATGGCAGACGGTTTGCAGAAATGGCCTGGAAGTGAAGAGGCTGACACATCTTTCATCGTTCTGGGATTGTTGGGGGTCGTCATCGTGGACACGAGCGTGTGCACAACTGGTATGCGATCGTTGGCCGTTGATTTTGCCGAAATGACAGTTTTGCTCCGAATATTCAACTGCTATCGGAAACAGGTTAATGTGCATCGTCAAATGACTTGTTTTGATGGGCCGAGACGGCCGAGAGTCGAGAAAAGTCCGTGCTGAAGTCTCCCGCAAGGCAATGAGAAACTTCACTGCAGAGTTGCTGGAAGCCTTGGCTGCGTGCCGCATGGAAATGGAGCGGGTGAGGCAGGCCACTTCAGCAGTGGCTAATGGCACAACCATGACTTGGTCCTTTCTTACCTCTCCCCTTGCAAGCATATTCTTGACCAAGAACAACAGGTAAAGCTTGGTACTTTTTGGTATCATTGTGACTTGCCCCGACAGCGCCAGCAGTACGCAATGGTTGGTCTTTTGGCACTTGGATTGATTTGCAAGGCCTGTGTCTGATTGATTCATTGAGCTCCATCCAGAGGTGAGGGGCCCTGGCACTCTCCAAGTTTCAGAATCATGCACACGCGCCGGCTGGAGCACTGGGCAGTCTTGGATCTTGAGATAAAGGTGGATAGGCAAAAGTCCCAGAAGCTCTGTCCTGAGCGTTGTAGGCCGACTTAATGACAATGGGGTGCCTTTGAGGGTGTGATGGCATGTCTCAGATATAGAGCTCATTTGCGAAAAGGTTTCTGTCTCCAGCAGCTGAGACTCAAATCGCACTCCGGATGTGCTGCCTTGATTTTCCATCGCCATTGCACATTTCACCTGGCACTGTCAGGGTGAGCATCCGAAGAATCATGGGCTGTTTCAGCTCTTCAAGTCAGGCCTCTAGGTGGTGACTTAGTCAGGCAGTAAATGCTGAAGTTTTATAGATTACAGTGCGCGCGTTGTATAGTCTAGCTTCGTCGTGGAGCTGAGAAGATTCAAGACGTGGTCCAACAGCTCGACATCGGCAAACCCCAATTCCGGTTTGCTGCAGGACTGCCACATGATACTGCATCAGGAACAAGCATTCCTCACATTGCTGAAATTCCCCGGAGGCCTTGGCACTGTGTGTTGCCTGGTGCGTGACGAGATGAAGATATCTGCGTCATGCCTGTGTCGATAATGCAAATGCCACCAATGCCAAACGTGTCAAAGCGGTGTGGGCATGCGGCACCAATTCTGCCAGTCAGTGATGTGGCTGGGGCAAGATCACCTTGTGGTTGAAGAATTGGCATGTGCTCACGCAGCTTCAAGGCCCAAGCTATGTATTGTTTTCTGGATATGGGGCGCTGGTGTGTTGTGCTGTAGTGCTTCTTTTGCAAGGAGCTGCGGGAACCATGTGCCCATCTAACATGCAATGTGGCTCTGGGCCAAGAATGTCCATGTTGCACGCAACAGTTCATGCAGGAGCATGTCTGTTCCAGATGTCGCCCGCTTAGCTGCGCTGCTGATGCATGTGGAAGGGGCACTGCCTTCGGGTGTTGGGATACTTGTAGGCGGGATCTTGCAGGCACGGAGCGCAGGACCACTCCATGTTGAACATTGGCCAACATGAGACGTGGGTGATGAGGACGGATCGGACGGGTACAAGCTTTTTGTGGGAAGCTTGCCGCCAGCCGGTGCCTCAACACAGGCAAGTCTATTGATAAACATCAAAATTGCCACCGATTTGTGCGGCCTGTTGACTTCAACAATTCTGAGGATTGTACCCCGGAGGAGCTGCATTCGGTTTTTTCAACTTATGGCATCGCATCTCGGCTGGCACCATGACAACCCGACCCTGTCAATGTATTTGCCTCCATCCACACGTCTCAGAGTCTCGGAGGCTGAAGCTCGAGGTGAAAACACAGTGGTTTAGTAGTCACTCTGAAAGAGACCGGACAATCTGCAGTCTGATTTATCTGTCTCCTCCAAGTGCATCCAGTGCCTTGAAAAGAGAGACTGGCAGACACAGGGATGAATTCCCCCATTGGCCCATAGGTCAGGTGCTTTGCGGGCCCTTTGTTGCGCGTGAGGTGAGACGAGTCCACGTGTAGCCGCCACAATTGATTTGCTTGCAAGCATGCTCATGACACGTGATCGTGCCGTATCCAAGAGCACACATTTCTGGCATGAAAGGGGCTTGCTGAAAATCGGCATCTCGTGTCCGTAGAACCTTTGGATTCAGCTTTCAGCTCACAAGCATCTCTGTGATGCGGACGGGTTTCCAGGTTATGAATCCTCACCCCAGATCTGGTCAGAGGCCGGCATGCCTACTCGGGCAGCTTCCCCCAACCCTAGCCGGGTACAGACTTTGCGGGTACCCTTCTGACATGCCTCGACAAGATATGACGGACTGCATGGGACGTTGATGAGGCTTTTACAGGAACAGACTTGAAAGCACTGCCTGCTGGGGAGGTGTGCCTTTGTCTTTTATTCAACTAAATCGGCTGGTGACGATGCGTGCAAAGCGAAGCGCTGAGAAAGTGTGCTCTCCGTGCTTCCTGTGCTTGAGTTCTGCCGTTTGCCAAGGACAAACGGCATCATGTTTCAATGACATGCGCTGAGGTGCTGGACAACCAGTACAAGATACGCAGAAATGCAGCTCATCCAATTGTAGTTAGATGGTCGAAGGACGGGTTCCAAGGGTGTAGAGACTCTAGGCTGCACAGTTGGGAACAGTTGGTGCGTCCTGCAAGCACCCGCGCCGTTCAGACCTGCGAATAACCTCGTTCATTCCGACTCTTCTAGCTGATGTCAGTAGAGCATCTGATCCCGGAGGACTCTGGTTACGAGCAGAATGGCGGGAAAGCAGCAGGCCATTTCTGGGTAGACACGCTCGCGAAATTCTGAGTTGTCGCACCTTCCAATGCTGCCCTCAGGTGACTGGGATGATGGTGTCTCCCTCAGAATCGTGAAATGCAAAAGGCGACGCAATAGCAATGCTGGAGCTACCTCGCCTATGTGATGCGCCTGGTGGAGGGGACATTCAAGGATCGGCATGAGCTAAAAGGCAGGGCACGCTTGGTCACAATGGCTCCTCGGAGGTCACTCCAGAAAGCCGGAGGCATCCCCAGATGGCCGGGGGCTCTTACTGTCACTGTAGGGGTAGTACTGAGAAGTGATCTGTGTTGCATTGTGAGCCAAGCCGGTGCATCGAAAACCACGTCTGGGTTTAGGGTGAGAGGTCATGAGGCAGGCTCAAAAGCCGAGCACAAGGCCCAGCCGAGACAGAAATCACGACAACATGAAGACTGCAGGTCACAAGCTCTTTGTTGGTGGCCTTCCTCATAATGTTACGGAGGAGGAGCTGAGATTAGTGTTCCTTGGCTGCAGTCAGCCGGTACAGCAGCCTGGCGTGCAGCTTCTTGATCCGCATGACAGAAGGTTTGACACGTATGGAGTTGTCCAGCCCGCAACTGAGCAACTTCTTATGTGATGGCTCTGTTCTGCATGGAGTCCCCTCAGAATTTAATTTGGATTCCGTGCGTGGCTCACTCAAAAAATGCAGCAGCGCACAGCAGCTCACTAAATACTTGATCTTGTCGGCGGCCACCCTCCCGAACTAAAGTGGTGGAACGATCAACGCATCGTTGCCTGCTGAGGCACTGCCATGTCATGGGCATTCATCCGAAGTCTGGGCAGAGGTCGCCAGGGCTTTTACGCATGGTCGGCGCACGCGCACGTGTCTAAATCTTGCCTAAGGTGTGCGTTCGTGTACTACAAGTCCCAGGAGTCTGCGCAGGACGGCACGACATTGAAGCCACTCACTGGCTAGTACTAGTGTCTGTGCCGGGACGCCCCAGGATGCCATCAAGGTCCTGGACAAGATTTACAAGATCCGGGAAGATGCCCTTGAGCCCATCCAGGCCGAAGACGCAACTCGTGCGTATGCTTCGTGACTTCGTGAGGCATCAGGCTTCCGCACCGTTCTCTGCAGGTGAGATGGGCGAACAAGGAAAGCCTGAAGTCCGCACCCAGCAGCCCGGATGCACACCGAGGGCTGTCATCAAGCAGATTGACAGGCCTTGCCCGGTTGTGCAGGTGAAGGCAAGGGTGCTGGAAAGGCCGATTGGCCCACAAGCCACAGGCAAGATTGGACAAGCAGTCTCCACCCCAGCGTCACAGCGGCACGGTTACAGCGAGAGGGGCACTGATAAGGCTTACTGGCAACGTGTTCACTAGCAACAGCTCCATTTTCACAAATGCTTCATGGCCGACCGTCCCTGCAACGAGCCACTACATCAACTACGCGTGATTTGATTCAATCTTCAAGGCAAAGGCGACGAGTACTGGACGAAAGGCAGGAGTGACTACTATGGAAAAGGTCGCAGCCTCACCATCACAAGAGCCTAGATTGCCACTCGGTACCAGCATGTACGTTTTAAGGTGACGTCTGGATTGGCAAAGGAGGCAAAGAGAAGGCCTGGCAAATCCGGGCAGCCTTGCTGTTGAGGTTCTGTTGGGTCCGAACTTGTGTCGGTGTTGATGCTGGCGCCGTTCAAGTGGCCAGGGCAAGCCCTGGAGCAGCTGGGAGGCCAGTGACCGGCTAGCTCCAAGCTCTCTATCTTTGTCTAGTTGCGACTCTTTATGCCTGTTTCGGTGACGTGTCTCAGTATATCTCAGCAGGTGCCCCCTTGGTCTGGCAGCTCTTGGCAACCACAGGGTAAGGCCGGGTTCGCGATGAATGGGCAAAGCTTGCCACATACTTGCTTCATTGGCTTCGGAAAATGGTTCTTTCATGATGACTGAATGATCCTGTCGCAAAAATTGGCTGCAGCCCTCAAAATGTCCGGCCGCAAGGAGAAAGGATGGTACGATTGGGGGAAAGGCTGGGACAAAGGAGGCTGGGACAAAGGTTGGGACAAAGGAGGTGGTCAGGCACTTAGGTCTTAGGTCGTCGAGCAATGTCGAGCAGCATTCAGGCACTCAGCTGTGGGCGGGACATCTGCTCAATCCCTCTTTTAGCCACCCTTTACATCCCTGTTTGCTAAGGTTGGAGTGGGAGTTGGGATCGTGGCAAAGGCAGTTGGCAGGGCCGGGGTCTCTCAGCGCGTCACTGGAATGAAGCACTGGAATACCAGTGCTTCACGTTGGGTGTTTGTGTTTTCGACCAGGTGATACCTGGTCAGACGGCTGGGGCCGATGCCTTTTGTGCACATTCACATACGGCGTGTGCTACATTTCTTTAAAGGCTCTTCTTCGACAAGTGCGCATCATTTGAGTTGTTCTTGCCTGCGATTCGGAGATGGTGAGGTTACCACGATGGCCATGGGAAGGGGAGAGACGGAGCCTGGAAGGGAGCCAGCCTCGGCGTTTGAGGGTTGGGAGGGCAGCTCTTGCAAGTCTCAGACTCTGTCGAATGCTTGGCCTTGTGGCTTTGTAACTTCCTCATCTCCGAGGCGCATGGCAAGAGCCCGCCTCCAGTCCGGGCTTCAGCGCTCTCGAGCGGGTCTTCATCAAACAAAAGTTACATGATCTTGACAAAGCTTGTCC